ATTATTACTTTGATGTCCTATTAATACATTGTAGCCTGAACCAATTACCGTAAGAGCCCTAACCTAAAGTCGGGAGCAATTTCTGCTTTGGAGAATCTGACTCAAAAATGTACTTGACTAAACTATGATCCCTAGGGGCAGGAGAAAAGCACATAATGGATGTGGATTTGATAGGTAATATTTTCCTGTTAACAAACTGGCAGCAGAGCTTCAGAAAATAAATATGTATGTGTAAGCACAACTTGAAGCTGAATTCGTTTCTGTATTATATTCTCAACTCATTATCTAAAGCAACAGAAAATGTGTTTTCAGAGATGAGTCCTTTACTGAGGTTAATATTTATTTTCCCTTTCTGTATTATATATACAAAGTAAGTTAATCTGTAACCTTACCCAGTTTGCCGGAAAGCTGGGTTTAAATTGTAAATACCCCTTAGAGAAGCAGATGGATTGTGAATATCATATTCTTGGCACTCTAGCTTATGTTAAAATTATTTCACTTTTTTAAATTGAAATACCTAGTTACCTGGTTATTATACAATATAAAGTGGGTTTTCTAATACTTTTATAGGGCCCAAATTCAGAAAATATTTCACTTTTCTTCCCCTTCCTCTTTCCTTTGTGTATCAGCAAACAACTTCCCTTGGGAAGCTAAACACATATATTCATATGAAAGTCAAGTAGCTGAGGTGCAGTTGAGAACCCTAGAAGACTGAAAAATAAACATCAATTCTAAAGCACTAGCCAAATCCTATCAAGTACTCATTTTTGTTCTCCCCGAAATGAGTAAAGGACAAATTGTATATACAAGCTGTTTACTATAGAAGGGAATAGTGACCATTTTTTGTTAAGTGAAAATAAAATGCTGCCCATTGCGTGTATTTTTTAGTTACCGTAGAATTATTAGACGCACGGCAAGACACCAAGATGAATGATGAGTTTAATTGTACCTCCGTGACTATACCTCATTTCCAATTAGACAGCTTTCTGGGACATCAGGAAATGGTACAGGGATGGCTCTCATTCTGTTCCCAAAGGTTCAGAGATGGGTACACATGGAAACCACAAGGGAACTGCATGGCACAAAAACCACTCCTGGTGTGATTATTCATTTTACAATAAAATTACATGAATTACTAAGCCCTTACCCAGCTCACGAATGATAGGATTTAAATAGGAAAAAAATTAATTTTCAGACAATTTTTTAGACGTATCTCTTGCCAAAAGGACTACATACACCTAATAAATTGACATTCTATCTTTGGAGTTATCAAAAATTTAATGCAATCAAAGCAACATATGTAAAACAAAACCATTCTTGATTGGTCAAGAATTGTTTTAAGTACAAATACCAGTACTGTTGGGAGTTCATGGGCACCATGTTTTCTCATGAAGTAACATTTCCTTTCCATCAAGCCATTATTTTGTGCCATTTAGGAGAGAAAAAGAAAGCAGGCTGTATGTTTCAGCTCAGCATGACCAAAAGCAATATGTTTATAAGAAAACGTTTGATGTACTATTATATATTATTTAAAGCATACTGTAGCAACTTGTTTAATATATGTGGTTAAGTTTTAGAATTATTTTTGCAATTTCCAACCAAAGTCCTGTATTTTATATAATTTATTGTGAGGATCTTTTTATGGAAACCATTATGAAGACAAACTAGAGGCTACTATCACGTTAGTCTGTATTATCAGTTTCTTATAGACACTGTGCTAATTAATATGAATTTAAAATGACCTGAACAGTCTTCTGATCTCAGATATCTCAGCACTAGCAGTTTAGTCACTTGATTTGATGACAAGGGAATAACTGAGAATATAAGTATTTATAAAGCAAATATTCATAATGGTGAGAAGATAGGAGGACAGAAAACCACTTATGCAAGCCCCATTTGAAATAAAATGTTGCTTTTTGAATAGTTCATCCCTAAGGTGTTTAAAAATGTTAACTACATTTGCAAAAATTCTGCTCCAAATAAAGTTATGGTTTAAGAAAAATAGATTTGTGTTATGTTTTTGTTTTCATATTCTTCCATCAAAAGATAGCAGTATTTCCTAATTTAGAATTTTGATACTTTGTAACTTTTCCTTAATGCAGAAGTGTACACTTAGCAGTATGAAAAGTTATCCTGCAATATGTAAAGTTTGGGGTTTTTTAAATTTAATTTTTAGTAAGTTAGGTGACTAGGGATATTAAAAACAAAAACGCAGGTCAAAACTTCCTGTTGCTGATTTCATCATGATTAATGCCTACCTTATATGTTTTCAGCTTTCGTAGGACACTCATGTACAATCTAAACCTTCAAAAGGAGCTCATAACTTCATGAATCACATACAGGATACCACAGGAAATTCATTTCCCAACATTCTTTGAATCCTTGAAAGAATTTTTGTAGGAACACGATTTACCAAACTTGTATTGGTGAACCCCTAAATGTGTCCCTCACCATCAGAACTGACCTGACTGCAGTCGTCAGCATTTGTCTAACCTTTGGGTAGATGTGCCCCTTCCAAAGCCCCAAAAGTTCAAACTCTCAGCTATCCTTCCTGTTGTAAAAACCTGCTGTTAAGAATAGGATCTGATTCCAGTCATGTATAGCTAAGGCTGAATGTCAGCCAATTGTTTCCCTCTTCCTGTAGTGTTTACATATCAAGCTTCTCTTAAACTGAGATTTAAAGCCCTTGATTTGTGTTGACAATTTTATATGCTACCGAGTGGGTGAGCAAAGGTTCAAAGGCAGAGAGGACTTCCCAGGTCCTCTGAAAATATATCAGATAGATAGATGGACATTATGAGTAAGACTGTCCCAGACTCAGAATGACTTCAGGAGTCTCCAAGAATAGAATGATTTTTGGGGCTGCCAGGAATAAAATAAAGGGTACCTGTCAGAATGGCAGAATTATTATAAGAGGATTTATTTCTGCACAAGGCTGTGTAATTAATAGTCTTATGATACTGCCTTATCTTTCAGGTAAACAAGATTGCTAGGATGTTATTAGAGTGGTCTTATGAAGTTGTCATTTTTGTAGGTTAGAAAAAATAGTAAAATATCAGTAATTTGATATAGTTCCGCCTATAAGAAATAAGAAAAAGGTGATAAATGTTTGACTTATTAACAGAGTTGAGTAATAATGTTTGTCCTACCTGTTCAATTAAAGTGAATCCTTATAGAAAGATGGGTTGGAAAAAATGAATAAAGAATGAATATTTTCAGCAGGGTTGGAAAACACGACTTTCTACCCACGTTAAATTGAGTAATATCTGTGTTAGGTCAGAATTAGAAAGATGAAATTGAACATATTTCTTTTTTTTTAAAGTGACTTTTCTGACTCTTGGGGTGCCCATCTATCCTTGATTTGCTTCATTTCTTACTGTACATACTTCCTCTGGATAAGCTCATCGTTTTGCTGCCAGTTAGATCCATTTCAGTCCTCTCCTGATTCATCACTGGCTTATACAACTGTCTAATGGACATTACCAATTGGATGGCTCATAGGAATGAAAGACAAATCTCATTATTATTTCCTCTCAAACTTGTCCTCCTTCATCACACTTTATGGAGCTAGAAACCAAAGGCATCATTCATCCATTTTATTCTCTGAATACCTACTCTGCTAAGCATTATTCTAAGAGCGGAATGTACAAAAATATATTGTTAAAAATATGAAAATTCCTAACATGGAAGTTACATTCTAGCAAAGCTACACAGACAACAAAATAAAGTTTATAGTATGTTAGATGACAATAGATGTTATGAAAAATAGAAAAGAGGGTGGAAAAGAAAATGAGTGTGAGTGTGTGGGGGGGGCATCATTTTAGACCTTTTTCTCTTCCTTCCCCAGCATCCTTCTACCTGATTAGTAAATCTTTTACCTTCCACTTCCTTGATATTTCACCTTTTCTTACCCATCTTCTCCAAACTCACGATGCTACTTTAATACTTCTGCAAGCGAAATCTGTTGAAAAGAAAATCTGAACATTGTTGCTGCAATTGCTCAGCACTACAGCTTGCCTTCTCAAGCTATGTCCTCTCAGGAGCCCCTCTTGGGTGAAAACAATATCAACAACATCTATAGTCAGAGAAATAGCAGAAGCTGCCTCTTAAAAAAAAGGAAAAATAAAAATTTAGAAGTCCTTTTGAAGGCATAGTATATATTTTTAACTTTAAAATTCATGTGAATTTAGCAGTAACTATAGGTTTGATAGGTTTAAAACATTTTTTTAAAGTTTAAACTTGTTAACTAGACAAATTACACGGCGTCAGGAAGAAAATAAAAAATGAAACATGTATGTACAAAATGAAAAAAATGAAAAAAATATTAAGTTCTACTGTTTAATGGTTAAAAAATTTTTATGTACTATTGTTTTTATGTTTTGCATTGTTAAAAAAGAAAGGCAGACTGCCACATGCAGCGCCTCATTTGGATGTGTCTGGAGTCTTGGAAGCTTGACTACTCTATGTTCTCCTACAAATGGACCTTGAGAGCTTGTTTGGAGGTTCTAGCAGGGGAGCGCAGCTACTCGTATACCCTTGACCGAAGAACGGTCCTCTCCTCTATCGGGGAAGGTCGTCCTCTTCGACCGAGCGCGCAGCTTCGGGAGGGACGCACATGGAGCGGTGAGGGAGGAAGGGGACACCCGCCTAGCCAGCCAGATCAGCCGAATCAACCCTGGCGATCAATGGGGTGACAGATGTCGCAGCCAGATCGCCCTCACATCCGAAACAACCGTGTTGTCACGAGGTATATAAAGCTCAATAGAGTTACGTCTTTTCGCATAGGTCGAGTTCTTTTTAATTATGCTGCGTGTCTAATAAATTTTAACTAAAATTAAAATCTAATTAACATTTCAAAAGTCATTGTATCCCACAAAATGCTAAAATTAATGTTAAAACTGACTTGAATGTGGATTTTAAAAATATTATCCAGCATGCCTTGCAGGTGGGTGGGTCATGCTAAATATGTTGTCTCAATTGGTGAAATCTTCCCGGAGCCGCGCCCACCGGTACCGCCTCTTCTCCACCCTCTGGTCCCGGCTGCTGGCAGTGGGCTTTGTGCGGTTCCGGAGCTCCTAGCGGTCTGCAGGTCTGTGTCCCTCCTTCGCCCCCACCCGCCCTTTCCCTTCTTCTTGTTTCTCCTTCCCTTTTTCTCCGGGCTCCGAGCCTCTTACTCCACCATCCATTTCTCACCCTACCCCCTTTCGGTCCTTCTCTTGTTTCCCTCCCTCTTGTCCTTTGCACCTCCGCCCCCGTCTGGGCAGACGTGGGCCCCTTGGCTGCGATTGGGGTCATTCTTGGCAGTGTGCGTGTTTTTATTAACCCGCTCTGCGGAGTCTGTTCCATTGATGGAAGGCTGGCTCGGATCCTCGCTGGGTGGAGCCGGGCGGCATCTCTGGGCACGCGGAGTACCCAAATCTGGCCTTGGGTGGCCGAGTCTGTGGCCTGGGCGCATTCGCAAGACCCAGGGCTCATCTCCCAGCGGGGTCTGGGGACGTGCGGGACCCCGGGGCCGCCCCCGGAGGCGTGACGATGGACGCACATTTTGCAGACAATATAATACTCGGCCTGTCCACCTTCCAGTTTCTGTGATAATCTAATACGTATGGTGCTGCGTGTGGAAGTATGACTACTTGCAGAGGTTCCAGTGGGTATATAATTCTCCGCGACCCTCTACTCCTGGCCTCTCCAGGCAGAATTTGGGAAATCTAAGATTTTCAAGGTCAAGTATATGATGATCTGAATCTTTTGAAGTACCTTATTGCCCAAGCACAAATGTCTTTACAACATATGGCCCCAGCTTCCCAAGATCTGGAATAAGAAATCATAAATAGAAACGATATGAAAGCCAAGGTGTGTTTTTTTTTTAATGTTTTTAAATGGTGGTATGTTTTTATGGAGTTAGAGAAAACGCAGTAAAACCAAAACAGTTTCCTGTGCACAAATCGTGAATATTCATTTAGCCCCTGAGCATTGGGTCGAGGACACGAAATTCAGAGGAGCTGCTTGCTGCATTTGTTTGTTTTCAGAAAGCCTGAAAGGCCATCATGTCAGAGAAGCCTAAGCTCCACTATCCCAACGGAAGAGGCCGGATGGAAACCGTTAGATGGGTTTTAGCTGCCGCTGGAGTCGAGGTACCCTATATGCTGTTTCTTCACAGATTTCCCGTACAACTTTGAGACTTCTGAGGAAAACATAAATGGCGGAGCCCTGATCTAGTCTTCTCCCACTAACGTTACAGACATGCTTCATTGAGTCATAGGATTCCTTCCTTTCAAGGGGTTTTTTTCTTTATAAGGAATGTAGTGGATGGAGTTCCATTTTACTTCTGACTTTCAGTAGATCATTGGCTTCTGATCTACCACCAATAAATATCTGTTAATAAGGAAAAAAGGAATGAATCTGGAATTTGCCAGTTACCCCCAGAGCTTTTGTTAATTTTGTTAATATATTCTGGTCAGCATAGCTTCAGCCCAGTGTTTTTGTTTTTGTTCTGTTTTTTTTTCAGCTTCTTATTTATGGAAATGTTCAAGTAGAAACAAAGGTAGAGAGAGAACATTGTCGTAGATTCTAATATATGTACCTTTCACTCAGCTTCAACAATCACTAACTTGATGCTAATTTTGTTTCATCTATCCCCCACCCCCACCCCATCACTTGTTTTGTGGGAGTATTTTAACAAAAAATCCAAACATCGTATGGTTTCATCTATGAGTACTTCCGTTTTTACCTCTAAAAGGTGAGGATTTTAAAACATAACCACAATACCATTATCATATCTAACAAAGTTTAACAATTCCTTATCATCTAATTGTCTCAAACTGGTCTTTTTATAGTTAGTTTCAGTCTGGATCTAAATCAGGCCCATACATCGCATTTTGTTGTTTCCTTCAGTGTTTTTTTTAAATCTATAACATTTTCCTCTGTTTTTTAAAAATAAACTTTATATTTGGGAATCATTTTAGATTTATAGAAAAGTTATATAGTGTAAGGAGGTGTTCCCAGGTAGCTATCACTCAGTCTCCCCTAATGATAACAATTACGTAACCATGTCACAACTAAGAAATTAACATTGGTGCATGACTTAAACTACAGACTATTCTAATTTAATTAGTTTTTCCACTAACATACTTTTACTGTTCCAGGATCCAACAGTATATTATTAGGTCATTATGTTTTTTTAATCTTCCTCAATCTGTGACAGTTTCTCAGTATTCCCTTTATTTTGTGATCATGCCAGTTTTGAAAACTGTTGATCAGGTTTTTTGTAGAATCCTCCTGTTTGAGTTTGTCTGATGTTTTTCTCATGACTAGACTGGAGTTTATTCTCTCTCTTCCCAATTGGGGGGAGAACAGCACAGAGGTGCGTGCCCTTCTCACTGCATCATAGGAGGGGTTACGTGATATTAACATGAGTTATCATTGGTGCTGTTAAACTTGGTCACTTGGTTAAGGTGATGTCTGCAAGGTTTCTTCTTGTAAAATGACCATTTTCACTTCTACTCTTTGGAAGCAAATGATTAAGTTTAGCCTACACTCAAAAGGATGGGAGCTAGGCTCCATCTCCTGGAGGGGGGAGTATCTGCATTTCTTGTAGCAGTCTTATGTAAGGGAGATTTTCCCACTCCTCCCCGATTTATTTACTTATTCAATCATTTATTTACATCACTATGGACTTAAGCATACTTATTTTTGACTGTGGGTTATAATTCAGGAATTACTTTGTTGCTCAAAATGTTCCAGTTCTTGGGGCTCTTTCAGGTTAGCTCTTAGTTCCTTATCATATAGGCTCCTTCCCACCCCCTCATCAATTTTGTGCTTTCTGACACAATAAGATGCCCCGGGCTCATCTTATATCGTATTTTCCTTGGCCTGGCCCTAGAATCAGGTATTTCTCCAAGGATCTCTGGTCCCTTTTGTTAAAAAATGGTATTAACAGCCAAGATCTGGGTGCTGAGTGTCCTAATTTGTTTGAGTGGCATTTATTTGTGGAAGAAATTGCCCTGTAGAATTTCCCCCATTCTGTATTTGGCTGACTTACCCTCATTTTAACATGTTCCTCTATTCTCTATATTTCTCACAAACAGCTAGTTGGATCCAGGGTTGTGATCAAATCCGGGTTCCTTTTCTCTTTCTATCTTTAATTTATTTTTTCCTGCCAGACTCCAACAGAGGGATATTGTGAACATATTTCTGTTGTACGCCATCAGGGGTGCATAATGTCTGACTGTCTCGTTCTCAGTGATGCAGAGCTTGATCCCTGTGTTCCGGTGACGTCAGCCTGATCCACTCATTAGAAAGTCCCCCCATTACCCTTTCAGTTAGTGGTTTTAGCGGCTGTTTATCCTCACCATTGCTAGGGATTACAAAATGGTGTTTTTCTATTTTGATCATTTCACCTGAATTTATTAACTGTAATTCTCTTATAAGAGTAATTCTTTACTTGTTAACTATTTAATTACCTTGATGTGCAACTTATATAGGAAAGGCAAGATAAATGCTTGATTTGGTCACTTTATCAATTTTCTGAATAATGAATTATTACCCTGACAACCTCCAAAGATGACAAATGAAGGTTGTTGGGTTTGGAGTTTTGTTTTTTGTTTGTTTGGTTTGGGTTTGGGTTTGGGTTTGGGTTTGGGTTTGGGTTTTGGTTTATTTGTATGCCATTATAACTCCCCACACAATGCTTTACGATTTGCTAAATTAGTTGATTCCATTTTTATATACAAATCCTGATTTGTGAATCCTCTCGAGAAATTAGAAGGTCTAATGATATTGGGCCCTCATTTCCACATGGCAGCAACTGCTGAATATGAATAAGGTCTGCCACTATTGATGGACCTTTCTAGTTCAACACAGACCCCTCTTGTCCTTTTGTCTCAGGACAAATTTTCTAATTACGTTAAGAAGAGAGTGAACCAATTCTTGGTCCCATGACCTGAACCCGATCCATTTGTTTATGTCACCTGTCTAACCCTGTATGTTTCTGAGTGTACAAATTTTTTTAATAGGCTTTGCAGTGGCTATCTTATTTGTATTTGTAATATAATCCTTTATCACATCCTGTTTCTTCCCTATTTTCATTCTACCCTGTCCTTCCTACTCTCCTACAAGTCAATATTCTTGGTTACAGTAATGGAAACCCAACCCTAAATAAGTTAAACAAAAAAGAACATGGGTCATTGACCCACCTATCCTAAACCAATCACAATGGGCAGGCAGGTTGGATAGTGTAATGAGCCCAGATTGGATTTGGGGTCCACCCCTCTAACCAGGGTGGTAGGAGCTTGATTGGCCTACCTCACTAGGACCAAGTGGTTTACAGGATCTATTCCCAAAAGGTGGTATGGGGTTCCCTTCCCATTTCTTTGCCAAAAGACAAGTTTAGCTAAGTTTGTGCTCATATAGATCTGAAATAATCGGGAGGGATGGGCTGGCAGCCATTAGATGAGTTTGTGATTGCCAGTATCACAGTGTTGGGATGAGCCTGCCATCTAAAGCACACACACCTGAGTACCTGGGTAACTGCTGAAAGGCAGCGGGTCCTAATTCAGGGAGTCACTGTCCTCCATCTGTCACTGGGTTTGAGTCCTTAGACATTGGTGTGTGCTGGATTTTGCTTCTTCGCTGCCTGGGGCCCCACTTGCCTGAAGACCCCCCCCCCCAGAGCAGAAATCCAGTCAGACCCCCTCTTGTTAAAAGGGAAATCAACACATGTAAAAAAGAAGACTTCACAGCCACAAGCTCCTAATTCAGGACTTCTGGGTAATTCGCTTACAAAAACTGAAAGAGTGTTGAAAAAGGGAGTGCTGTGGTGTGGAAGAGGGCAGATCTCCAAAGTTCGGAAAGAAAGACCACTGATTGTGTAGATAGAAACCTAGATGCTGTCTCTACCCTACCAGCCTTGGGCAGTACTTGGGCTGGAGTTGCCAAACTCCCTCCAAGCTCTGCCTGGTGATATTTTTTTCTTCCCTTTCTGTCCCACCCTCTCATCTCCCCTTCTGGTGCCAGTTTCTTGTTACTTACCAATCGTGTTACAAAGCTTGATACAAAGACTTTCTCTAACGAGAGCACACATTTCGCATAATGTCTCAAAAGTCAAAAATCAACATCAGAACCATTGGGAAGGACTTTTTTTTTCCCCCAAATGTACAATTCTGGTCTCTTCCAATTCCTGAATGTGAATCTCTGAGGGGTGGGCCTGGGGGGGTGGACATATCCCCCCCACCCCCTCTTTCACATGTGCTTTAAATGGTCATGATCATAAAACTATGAGGTCAGTAGTGTGGAGGGAGTACACCACATCTGACCAGCTGGGTGTTTGGACAAATGCCCCGAACATTGTTGGCCTGAGGAACCAGATAGAGTATCTCTAGGGACACCTAGGCTCCTCTTCTCAGACCATGAGGCCCCTGGTGAGTAGCAGAAGCCATGCTTATAGCCCGTATCCCAATTCTTTCCCCAGGTCAGCTAGTTAAGATGGAGGAGGGGAGGACTGCCGAGTCTGTGCTGCTCAGCTCCGCCCCTCCCTTGGATGATTTGAGGGAGCAGCCCAGGGACAGTTACCTGTGGGGAACCATCCAGGGACTTGGTGGCAGGAGGCCTCCTCTTCCTGACATGAAGTTAACATTAGAACATTTTATAATGTCGGGAAAAGAGAAACTTGTTTTCACTGTTTCCCCCCGCCCCCAACTTTTTAATTTAAAAACTTTCAAACCTACAGAAAAATTGTAATAGTACAGTGGATACCTTTCAACTACATTCAGTTGTTAACAGTTTGCTGCCTTTGCTTTCTCCCTTCCTCTCTGCTTTCCCTCCCCTCAATCCTTTCAAAGTAAGTTGTAGACATTAGCAGGTATCTTCCTCCTAAGAGTAAATAATTGTTCTGATAACCACAATATCATTGTCACAACTAAGAAAATTAATACTAAATGTATAATATCTAATATGCAATCCTATTGTCCCCAAATGTCTACCTAACTGTTATATATCTGTTTAGCAGTTATAAGTGGCTCTTGCACCACACCCTTAATCCAGGATCTAATCAAGATTCAGGCATTTGGTTGTTAGTTTCTTTTTATCTACAACAGTACCTGCTCTTTTGTTCTTTTTCTCCAGGCCCTTGACTCTTTTGAGAGTCCAGGCCATGTATGTATGTTGCAGAATGTCGAACACTCTGGATGTGCCTGATTTTCATCTCACAGTTAGAACAAGTTAAATGTTTTGGGTACTGTTTTTACAGTACTCCTTTGTCCTTCCTATTGTGTTTCAGCAGCAAGCACATGACATCTCGGAGTGTCCCCCCGTGGGCAGCTAAGTTTGACCCCTTGGTTAGATAGATGGTGATATCTCCAGATCTCTGCATTGCAAAGATACATTTTTCCTTTTTCATAATGAAGTAATGTGTGGGGTGATACTTTGAGATTGTGTAAACAGTCTGTCTTTTAACCCAATAATTTCAACATCCATTCTGATCCTTATCAGAATGAGTTATTACTTTGTATAGGTTGCAGCCGGTGATTTTTTTAATGTTATCATTAATTAGCAACAGTTCTACATCAACTAGTGCTAATTCTTTCTGCTGTAAAAAGAGCTTTTCCTTCTCCCTTTTTTTTTAGTGTCATCATTTATGGACACAGAAAGTTTTTGTTGGTGTGTGTTGTAATCCATAACTGACATTATTCTTTTTGATACTTGAATTGTCCTAGGTTTGTTTGGCTAGGGAATTACCCTCAAGTAGGGTCATTAGTCTTTGAGCACTTCCTTGCTTCCTGACATAGCAGAATCAACCTTTTTTCCTTGGGCCCTGGTTTCCTTTAGTGGACAGTGATCTTTAGAAACCAAGGTGTGGGGGCTATATGTCCTCTTACTCTCATATTTTGAGGCAGTATAACTTGGTGTTTGCAGTCCTGATCTTATAATGACATGTACCTTTTTCTGGGGGGGGGGTATCTTTTTAAAAATTTAGTTCGATGAAGAATTTTTAGAAACAAAAGAACAGTTGCAGAAGTTGCAGGATGGTGAGTATGGAAATGAGACAACTGTCGGTAATACTGATTTTTCTTTTCTTTTTAATATTTGGTGGAATATTTGGTGGAAAGGCAAAGATGATGCTGACATTGACCATTCAAAACTGTATCCTAAAACCAGACAAGGGACTAATAGTTGAAATTGCCAGGAAATTGCTTCTTATTCAGTAGTTCTATAAGAGCTAACTAAAGGAAGGGAGCAGGTCCTTCTTCCGTCCAAGTAAACAGTCCTTCTCCATCCCTTTCTCGTCCCCCTACCCTCCTCTGACCTTTTCCCCTTCCTTTCCCCCATCCCTTCCCTCCTCACCTTTTTTGCCACATCTCTTTCACCTCCTCCAAGATATCTGAGACATCAAGGCCTGCTTAAAGCATGCAAATAAAAGTCCCCATTTGCACTGGGCTGCCTTTCTGAAGTAAATACCAAACAAAGGAAATGAATAAGAGGCCCCTCTTTAACACCTAGCCAGCCCTACTCTCTCCACGCCCAGACCCCATGAGAAATACCTAGCAACCCTGTAAGCAGCCTCCCTCCCAGTCATCAACAGGGTCCTCAGGCCCGACTTAAGATTCCCTTGAGAGAGACCAACTCTACAGGGGTCCGTGATGCCACCTGTCCTGTGTGATACTGGCCTGACATCCCTAGTCACACTCTCAGTACTCATTTCCTCTAAACCCTCAGGTGCCGCCAATCCTTGAGCCCCTTGAGGGTTAGGCTGTACCCTATCCTTGCATCTGTCCCCCCAAGTTGGCATGTGGGAAGTGTTTGATACAGGTTTGCTAAAGAAAGTAACAGGTTGCTTTTTGACCAGTGACAGCAAACTTGAAGTGACCTATGGCTGTGAAAGAGAAAAACCAAGTATACATGAGTATCATATCAGTTGGTGATGTAGGCTTGATGATCAGGTTCTTTAAGGCAGCGTTATCAGTAGAATACTGTACAGTGATGGAAATGCTCTAGTTTGCACTGTTCAGTGTATTAGCCACTAGCCGTCTGTGTCTGTTGAGGATTTGAACTGTCTAGTGTAACTAAGAAAATGAACTGTACATTTTTTTTTAATTTTAATTAAATTTAGGCTTAACTAGACACATGCAGCTGCAAGCTACTGTGTTGGCCAGAACAGCTCTGAAGGAATATCTCCACTAAATGTTCCCCTATGCCTTGTCTCTGTGGGTGGGCAGTTCTCCTGGATGACAATGAAAAGGGAAAGTTTAGAACAATGCCAGTTGTCAGGCTTATGGCTAAATTTGCTCCCCTGAAGGACATTGAAGTTATCTGTCATCAGGGAGTTTTACACTGTTTCCTAAGGCTATGTCCCTCCTCCCCCATCCCTTTTCATTCCCTAGAGCATTTCTTAGGGCTTGGGAGACCAGGAAGAAATCACTTCTAACTCTGGGCTTCCATTCTCAGGTAAGCACCTGCTGTTCCAACAAGTGCCAATGGTTGAAATTGACGGGATGAAGTTGGTGCAGACCCGAAGCATTCTCCACTACATAGCAGACAAGTACCATCTCTTTGGCAAGGACCTCAAGGAGAGAACCCTGTACTGTGGCCCTTCTTGAATGTTCTTACTTGTCAGCTTAGTGATGCCTTAGCTGATTTGCAGTCCTCTATAACACACCCCATATACTTTATGTCTTGTATCATTAGTGTGAACAGGGAACAAAAACCCAGAAAGGTCGTGAAGACCAGTTGGGAAATCAGTCTAGTGAGTCTGAGTAAAACAGTAGAACAGAATTGAATTCAGATATTAGATTCTGTGCCTGGGGTATGATGGTTTCAGGTTTCAACATTAAATGCTTTGTTGTTACTCTTTACCTTTTTTGCAAATTTATGGCCATTGGAGTAGTGGAAATAGGAAGGTGCTGTGACATTCAAGACCTGGGATATTGTGCGTTGGATTATAATTTGAACTCAAAGCCCGGTCCTTGTACCTCCTAGATGCATGATCCTAGGCAGAGTGTTGAGCTCCAGAGTCCTGATGACTTTCTTGGACAGTGGGGATAATAATAGCACATTCCTCATAATGTCATAGGGCTCTGTGGAATAAAGGATATAGAGTGTTTAGCACCATGCCTGGCACATACCAAGCATTCCATAAATGATACCCACTATTCTCATAAATGTGAAGTTCCACCCACACCGAGCGTGGGTGCTGCAGTGAGTGTGGAGGAGAAGGGGCAAAGGAGATAGAGAGCAGCCATAACTATTGTGCTTTCTGATTTGTGCCAGATTTTTCTGAACGAATTTTCTGAATGACAGCCCGAGTTGTCTTTGCATCTTTCCCCTTAAGAGACAGGTGTAGATAAATACTTCTTGGTCCTTAAGTTGCCAGAGCCTTAAGAGAAAAGGATTCTTAGTTGTGGACGCCGATGTGTCCCAACAAGGGGAAACTGAGAAAACTGCTTTTTTGTTTTAAGGATTGACATGTATGTGGAGGGGACGCTGGATCTGCTGGAACTGATTATCATGCATCCTTTCCTCAAACCAGACGATCAGCAAAAGGAAGTGGTGAACATGGCCCAGAAGGCTATAATTAGATACTTTCCTGTGTTTGAAAAGGTAGGTGGCAGAGCAGCCTATGAACACAGCCTAACCAGACCACAAGGGAGCTGCCACCGATGCCCTTTCCACCCGGCAGTGTAAGGCTGAGGCCCGTTGAGCTAACCTCACGGACTCCTAAGGGCTGACAGTAGCCTTCAGCACAAAACCAGGAGGTCTTGGACCCCCTCAGACTCTAGGAGGTCCACAGTATCCAGAAGTCTGGAGAAAATACGAGCTCACCACATGTGTACGTTATCGTTCCTTACATTCACCAGGTGCCCACCCTGTGTAAGATACAGAGAAGCAGAAACTGCCTAATTCATTCCTCTCATTCCACAAACATTTGCTGAACAGCGTTATGTATCAGACATCCTACTAAATAGTTTGATATGAAGAGAAGAACCATGGCTGTTTATTTCTCTTGCCTTTGCTCTTTTTTTGTTTTCTGTTTTGTTATTTCCTAGTCTTAATTACTCTGAGTTTCAAACTCCTCTTTTCCTTAACTGAGAGGAATTGTTTTAAATGTTTTGATTAAAAATCAAAAGAAGATGGGCCGGCCGGGTGGCGCGTTGGTTAGGAGTTGGCTTGGGACGCCAGCTCTGAGCAGCAGGGCCCTAGTTCGGATCCCACATACGAGGGCCAGTGACACTGCCCTCTACAGCTAAGATGGTGAACAACAGCTCAACCTGGAGCTGGGCTGCTGTGAGTCGCCGGCAACGGCTTAGCCAGCGTGAGTGACCGGCAGCCGGCGTGAGCTGCCATGAGCTACGGTGAGCTGTTAGCGGCTGTCTAATGGCCAGCGACTGATCTGCCTCACCCGGGAAGAGCGCAATGATCACAATACCAACATGGGCCAGTGAAGTGACATCCTCCACAACTAGACTAAAGAACAAAAGGACAGCGATTTGTCTGTTTCCCTTTCCTGATTCCCCAACACTGTTCCCCTCCCCCAATTCCCCAATAAAATCTTTAAAAAAAAGAAGAAGGGAATGTGAAAATGTGGAATTGAAAAACTTCCTCTGTCCATCTTCATGCAATTAGACTTAAGAAGAAAAGGGTATTTCCTGGGAGTTTTGGTTGCTTGGCTTCATGATATCTTGCCCATGGGGCACTTTGTGAATGTAAAATATGATAATGCAAAAATGTGTTGTGACAAGGAACAGGTGCCTTGGTGAAAAGTTACTGCTGGTTCTTATGTCCCTGTGGTCCGGACTATGTCAGGGCTCCTCCCAACACATGAGCTAAAAGTGGTTACCATTTTGAGTGTCATGCCCAAGGTGGGAGTCGGGAGAAGAACCCCGCCCCCTTACTGCAAATTCTGGATTCCTTGTCCTCTCCCACTCTGGCTCCGGTGGCTCTATGTGATTTGGAATCATATGCAGAGTCCCCGTCAGACATATACACATGTGCGCACACATCCTTACACTTGTGGGGCAAGAGTTTGCTGCAAAGGGGACCTCCCTTCTACCACCGCTGTTCCTTGCTTTCCCTGATCATCATCTATTCCTATGACTCTGTGCCTATACGTTACTCTTACAGTGAGAGTCAAGATGAAGTCACACACTTTTAATTTTCTGTGTCTTAGAAGATGTGAAAAGAAACTTGCTTTTTTTTTCACAGTCACATCTAATTTACGACTACGAGTCCTGATGTTCATTGCAACACAGGCCTGGCAAACGAGATTGGACTCCTTGGCGAGGAGCTGTCTCTTACTTCCTATATCACTCCCCCTCCCCCAGCCTGCTGAATTCATCAGGGCTAATTTATTTCTGTAGAAATCTATATAAAAGCGTATCCTTTTAAAGCACTGGATAATGATTCCAGAATTCATATTTCCTCCCCCTTTTCAGTGTTTCATTCTAATATAAAGTAGATATTTAATGATGCTTTCATTTCTACACCTTTTGTCTTCTACACCTTTTGTCTCTCTCTCTCTCTC